ATATATAGAAAAATATTGAGATTAAATGCGCACTAGCTTATATGAACATATGAGCACAACGGTTTAGATTGAATCTAAGTCGATTTGACGGCCACGATTTCATTTTGTGTTTGAGTTTTAATGTTTTTCCTATAAATCTAAATAACTTGAAATTTTATACGTCCATTCTTCTCATCAAGGCGCACCTTATAAAAATATTTAAAAACTAATTCGTAAAATAAATATTGATCAAAATACCCTTGAAAACTTCAAAAGTATTTTGGTCAATTTATTTTTTGCAAATTATTATTTTTGATATTTTTATTTGATTCTCCTATTTTTGAAGAATACATGTTTAAAAGTTCAAATTATTTGGATTCGTAGAAAAAAATTAAAATTCAAATATGAAATGAGATCGTGACCGTCAGATCGTTTCAAATTCAATCTGGGCCGATTGGCTCATATGAATAAATATATTCATATGGGAAAAGTTTATATAAGGTTGCAACCTTAAATGTAGACTCACATATGCACCTCAAAAATTCATCGGAAATACTGTTTTAATGTTGAAAAGCTCTCTAATTGATCATCTCGACATCGAGGTGTATGAATATTAAAAAAAAAAGTTTTCGAGTCCCAAAAATAGTGTATCTTGCAACACATTATCTAGACCGTTTATTTTCAAGATTTTCATATGTTTATAGATCTACTTGATTTTAACTATTTTTGAAGTTTAAAATTTCCTAATTAGATATGAAAATCGTTTTTAAGATAATCTTAAAATTGATAAAATTTGGAAGTGCGCCTTAATTGGATTGTTTAAGGTTGCAATCTTATAGAAACCGCGTCCTATATATATCTGCCCTAACGATCTGGGTTTTGCGATTGAAAATAATGGTAATTTTTATATCTTTGGTAATGAGGGTTCAAAAATGGGATTTTTTTTAGAGAGAGAGGCACCATTGGAACTAATAATAATTGGGTTCAAGAAAAAAAAAGAAAAAAAATTGAGGCCAATGAACTTCAAACAAAGGGGTATGGTTTTGGAAACTCCTAATCCTTTGACGCGATGCTTTGGGTAGAAAGATAACAGCAAATGAAAAAAAGCAGGTCGAAAGAAATGAGTTTTATTAAGGGGAAAGAGAACAAACCAAAAAAGAACAGGTTGAGATTGGAAAGGAACGAGTTTGAAAAAGAGAATATCTACGTTCAAAAGAATGACACGAGTTTGTTTGCTATTTTCATTTTTTTTTTTAATATTAACTTTGGTGACTTTGGACCTCATTAGGAATGAAACTCTAAACATCACTCTAAACATCATTTTGTTATGCCTAAGCTTTTCTATGCTTCCAATAAGGTATAAAATTTATATACTTCCCCCTATCCAAACTGTCCATTTTGAATAGATGGTTGAGATGGTCTCAATCACAATATCACATCTTTATACTATTTGATTTTTAATTTTTTTTATATAAAAAATTTCGACATCAAATTTTGAGTGGCCACTCCTCTCTTAAACATGCACCAGTAAAAAATATAAAAACAGTATTCCCAATAAAATAAGATAACCAAAATGCCCATGAAAATTTGAAGGGTATTTTAATCATTTTATTCTATCAAAAATATTTTTTTAATATTGTTTTAGGTGCACCCATTGAGATGATAGCCCATATCAAATTTTATATTTATATAATTTGTAAAAATAAATAAAAAATAAAATACTCTAAGGCGTCGGATCTAAATCAAACTGTCAGTGGCTCACTTCATGTAAGTTGGACGGCTGGATGCGCAAGGAAGTGTATATCTTCTGTACAATATGGGAAGTATAGAAACCCTTCCCATTGATAAAACGGCATAATCTTTGCAAAGAACTCTCTGTTTATTATTGTTTAAAAAATATATAATCCCATATAAATATATGATCAATAACAGTCACGTATAGATATCTATACTTATTATAGTATAAAGATACCTAAATTAGATATCATAATCAAGAGATATATCATACGATCTAATCTAATCAGGAGATACATATCCCTACACGACACATATACATTCATATCTATTCACATATACCATAATAGAATCTCATCATCTTTGTACAGAGCTCTTTGTATATTATTGATTTAATAATACACAATGCCCATATTCAGTAATAGACATGGATAGATATCTATACTACCTATTATAAGTATTAATGATACCTAAACTTATTAAAATCAAGAGATAGACATCCATATTATTATAATCAAGAGATATACATCCATACGATTTAATCTAATCAGGAGATATTATTTACAAATAATGGATTTCGAGTTTCTAAATGCTTAATTCTGATATGCAGTCAATCCACCAGGTTTGGCTAAAACTAGGGTTTTAAAGCTTGTAGATTTGACAATCAACACATTAATTAAAAAATATATATATCTCTGATCTAGATCAGATTCAATGGGTGGGAAATCTAAATCCCTCCTGTCTGATCCCCCTAATTTTATTTTTTATCATTATTACTATAAGAACTTTTTTCCAACCAATTAGGGTTGACTACAAGAATCCTAGTCTTATCAAGGATCATACCCGCAGTTATGCCATTGTCTTCTTATCTCTTCTCACTACTTTCAATTGTCTTACTTTAATTTTTATTATTGCTAATCAAATTGATATTCCATATCCGAATCACCGATCTATATAACTGATATGTATTTTAACACACTAGTCTAAACAAGATAAAAGGGGATTCAAGAGTGAGTCGTATGGGTCTTGACTCTTGACTAATTAACTCTGGTGAACATTTAAAAAAAAAAAAATCCAAAAGTTGACCCCATATTTTTAGTAACCACACCCATTCCTGAAAGTTATTGAGCCGGTGTGCATTCAGTGGTCCTACCGACCACCTATAATACATGATCCGGCACCCAAAATGCATGTAAAGGGGTGTTTCGATCCAAACCATAAATCTACACCAAACCCTATATTTTGATCTTTGTAGTATTAGAGATCGATTCGATACTTGAAGTGCATAACTG